GCAGGGCTGCGTGAGTTCCGAGGCTCAGGCACCGCTACCCGCGTGGCCCTGTCTCCGCATCTCAGCTGCAGGAGGGCAGAAGGCTCCATCCAGCTCTGAAAAGGCCACTTCCGAGCACACGGGGCCAAGGTGACACACACGCGCACACGCTCAGGTAGGGGTTTGTTTCTGAGCCGGAGCCATGCCTTCCAGCGATCTTAACCCAGCTCTGTGGATCGTGATGCAGCGGGAACCCCTTCTCCAAGCCCGCGCTCTTTGGGGGCGGCCCCGAAAGACCTCTCCCCAAGCCAATCCCCCAAACGCTGGCCCCAGAATTCCCAGGTCCCCACCCACTGATAAACTACTGTGTGCTCAGCAGCCCAGTAAATCCACCAGGTTATTACCCTGGCTCCACAGAGAAGCAAGCTGAGGCTCGGGGAGACGCCAGTGGCTTCCTCAAAGGCACGAAGCCCAGAGCGGAAAGAAGTGGGTTTTGAGCCTTGAGCCTGTCCAGAGCCCACCCCCAAGACTCCTCACCCCATCAGCCCCTCCGCTTGGCCACAGGAACTCTGAAAGGCCCTGACTTTCCCTTCTCTTGGGAGTCCCTGCTCAGTGGCCAAGAGGAGAAAAAGCAGGCTCACTCTGCCTGTATTTTTTTTGTTTTTTTGAGACAGGGTCTCTGTAAGTATTGCTGGCCTCAAACTCATGGCGATCCTCCTGCCTCAGCCTCTTGAGTGCTGGGATGACAGGCGTGGGCCACCATGCCCAGCTCATACCCCTAATACAAATGTAGAAAGTGTGACTCAGGAGGCAAAGTGACTTTCCCAAGATCACACAGGTGGCAGAGCCAGGACAAGGGCCCAGCGTCCCCCACCTCCAGTCTCTCCCACCCACTGGGGCTCCTGCCTGTGCAGCCTCCCTGGGCCTGGATCTCCTGTCGTGGGGTGGGGTGGGGTGGGTGGGTCTCGGCCCGCTCAGCTGACCTGGAATCTTAACCACCATCTCATCAGCAGAGCTGCCCTGGCCTCCGGCGCTGACCACACTGCTGGCTTCAGCAAACTGCCCCACTCCCGAGTCAGCCTAAGCGGTGCCGATGTGACCACCTCAGGACAGGGCAGGATGGCCGCCTCCTACCTCTGCTCGGGCACAGGCTCTGGGTTCAGCACCAGCCCTGCCACCTGCTAGCTGTGTGGCCTTGGCCCAAGCACCTCCCCTTCCTAAACCCATTTCTCCCTCTGCAAGATAGCAGCGCAGGGGCCTCGTCCTGAGAAGACCAGGACCCAGGGAGCATGCGGCCGGTGGCCATGGCGACAGGGGGCATGTCACCAGTCAGGGGTCAGAGCTCCTGCAAAGTGTCCCTGGCCCAAGGTTTCGCTAACCCCAGAGAGGTTCTCGTAAGGCTGAGCCACCCCAGCCCAGCTCAGCTCCCCAACAGCAGCCGGCTGATGGACAGTGACTTCCCCAAGTGACAACGTTAAGGACCACGCGACTTCCTGAGCACATACTGGGCGCTGAGCAAGAACTGGGGGTGCCCCAGGATGCCCTGAAACTCCCTGAAACCTCGGTGCTAGGTTCACGTACCGATGGGCAAACTGAGACTCAGAAGAGGCTTACTAAGGCCAGACATGGTAGCACACGCCTCTCATCCCAGCACTCAGGAGGGTGAGGCAGGAGGATCACCCAAGTTTAAAGCCATCCTGAATTATACAGCAAGACCCTGCCTCAAAAAGAAAAAAAAAAAAAGATCCTGACCCAGCCCACGACCCAGGAGGCTGTGACTGAATCCTAGGTCCACACCGCTGCTCAGGTGTCGGGACACAAAGACGACCTCCAGCCACAGTGGCATCCGGCCTCAGGGTCAGGCCCAGGGGCTCCATGCCAGTCCTGGCCCCGGCCTGGCTGCATTGTAGGCACCAAGCCACACTGGTCCCTGGCTCACCCGGTCCCTCCAGCAGGCTCCGGGACACACCTCGCCCACAAGGCCCGGCCAGGTTTCAGGGTTTCAGGGCTGAGAGGTTTGCTGACTGAAACTAGGCAGGCGACAGCGCCCATAGGGTGGGGCGGGCTCAGAACCTGCCCGCCTGGTTCCGGAGCACCGCGGGGCAGGGCCAGGGAACAGCAGAGGCCGAGCAGGGGCTGAGACTCGGACTCCCTGTGTCACCGAGTCTTCCAAGCACTACCATCTCTGTCCTCAGCCTGGACAGAAGGGGGAGCTGAGATCCAGAGAGGTGATGACATTGTCCTGAGGTCACACAGCATGTCTCAGCAGCGCTGGGTTGGCAAGCCGGGCCGCCACGGCCCTGCCTACAGCCTCCCTACTCAACTACCCCTATGCTCACTAGCACACAGACAGCAGCTGTCTCCTCCATGTCTCCGTCCAGCACGGCTCTACACACACGCATTCGATATTCACGCACAGGAAGACAATCGGGCTCAGAGAGGTTGAGTGACTTCTCCCGAGACACACAGCTTGGAAAGGTCACACACCCAGAACAGTCTGGGTCTAACAGGGAATGGAGGTTCAGGCAAATCCATCTCACAACCACTGCCCAACAGTCTGGCTCTGGGGACAGGGCCTCCCCACAGCACTGCCCCCGTGGGTGGCCATGGTCAGAAGGGTGACACGCGGCCCCTGCTCGGGACCTATAATCCATGGGAAGTGGGGAAGAAGGGAAATGATGGCCTCTACAGGCCGGCAGGACCAGAGCGGGGAGGGCTGGGCAGCGAGGGGCCCCACCAGGCCACCTTCCCCAGAACAAGGCCATGGGGGTCAGCCCCGCTCAACCCGGCCTGTGCCACCCCAGTCAGTCACTGCCTCAGTCTGGGCCCTGAGATGTGATGTCTGCCTCGGCCTATCCACTCCCACCCTGGTCCCTCAGATCAGATCCCCGCCACACGCAGGAGCCAGAGGGGAGGAGTCTGACCCTCCCCTGCCCAAAGCCTTCCACGGCTCCCACTGCCCTGGGGATGAAGGCCAGGCGCCTTGGTATTTCCCAGGAGCCTGAGCCGCCTGGGGTCCTGCACTGCCCTCCCTCCTCAGCTCCCCACTGTGCTTTCCCCCGACTGAGGTGGGCGAGACCCTCACAGCCCTCCGATGAGCTCCCGGTGGTTTCAGGCCTGTTCCGTGTGTCTCACTCCCCGGGGCAGCACATATAGTAGAAAAGGCAGGGAGCCGGGCGTGCTTGTGCACGCACGGCAGCATTCGGGAGGCTGAGGCAGGAGGAATGCTACAAGTTCAAAGCCAATCTGGGCTACATAGTGACATAGTGAGTTGAAAATCAGCTTGGAATGAGGCTCTATCTTAAAAAAATAAAAAAAGTAAAAAGGGGCCCAGGCCAGAGTCCCTGCAAGCCGCCACCATAGCACGAGCCGGTGCTCAAGTGGAGGTGGCTGAGCCACCAGCCTCAGGTGTCCTGAAGGGACCTTCTCTGAACCGATCCCTTCCCCAAGGCCACTTACAAACAAGGGAAATCCTCTGCCCATAAATGCAGACGGCAGCGGCCTGGCCGGGTAAGGGCAGCCACCCGCGCCGTGCGGAACTGCTGGAGTCCTTGACTCACACAAGGCCCAGGGAGGAGGCTCTGTCGTCACCCGGGGCACAGGCAGGGCAGGAGGCAGACAGCACTTCCAGAAGCAACCATGGGACGCCATGCTGGCCGGCCAGGTACCCCACGGGGGGACTCACGCTGTAACACCGGGCCCTGATGACAGCCCAGGGACTGGTACAATATCACCTCTACAGGGGAAACTGAGGCTGCAAGAGCAGGCACTCGCCCTGCTGGGTTGAACCCAAGCTCGCTGGACCAAGGGAACCATGATGGACTCCCCATCAGTGCTGTCACAGGGCCTGCTCAGGGCCTGGCACGCTACAGCCCACAAACAGGTCACACTGCTGTGAGTCGGACCCTTTCCACGTTGCTGCCGCGGCGTTTTCTCCCTCCTGCTTTCCCCCTCCCCCTCCTTTCTACATCGAAAATCTCAGCCAGAGCTGGGCAGGGTGGTGCACACCTGTAATTTCAGCACTCTGGGAGGCTGAGGCAGGAGGGCTGCAAGGTCCAGCCACACCTCGGCAATGAAGTGACTCACGGAGACCCTGTCTCAAAATAAAAAATAAAACAGGCTGGGGATGTAGCTCAGTATGAAGGCCCTGGGTTCAATCCCCAGAACCACAAAACAACAAAGAGCCAGACTTCAAGGCCCTGCCCTCACACCAGCCACCTGCTCCTGGAAAGGTTCTGAAGGCCCCATTTGCATATAATTACAATAATCATCGTAGCATGCGGGAATGAGAATGTGTGTCACAGTTAGCCCAGTGCCAGCCTGAGGCCGCCCCCGGGGCGGGCTGACAATATTGTCAAGAGGATGCCTTTAGCCCGCACGGTGACAGACTGACAAACCCAGTCGAGAAGTGAGGGTCTGAGGCTCAGGGAGGCTGAGGGACTTGCTCAGCGTCATACAGGTTGAAGAGCAAAACCAGAGCAGGAGGGGAGAAAGAAGTCACAGGAACTTTGTACCCAGAGGAGGACACCCGGGTCTCCAATACGGAATGTTCTCTCCCTGGCCACCTGCCCCTCCCCACAGGCTGGAAGCCCACCTCTCTGAGCAGCCCCCAGACAAAGCCACTGTCCCTGGCCTTGTCCTCCGGCTCTTAATGGTGATTCATAAATGGCTCCTTGACCCGGCTCCCCAGCACCCAGGCCTGGCCCAGGTGGGGAAGGAAGTGTCCCCTTCGGGAAGGGTGGAGCGCTTTAGACACCAAAATGGCCCCTGGAGGCCACCATGGCCAGGGAAGGGCTGAGGGCTGAGGGCTGAGGCCAGGGAAGGCAGACTTGGGGCAAGGTGGCGGAGTCAGGAAGGATTTCTCACAGAGCTGCCTCCCACACTTCCTCGCTGGCAAATATTTAACCAGGGCTCGGTGACAGCAGGTCTTGGGGTGGGGGTGTGAGCCTGGAGTCAGGAGGGCCCCAGGCGGGGAGGCCTGGGGAAATGCCCCCCAAAAGACCAGGCGAACACCCGCCTACCCGGGCTGCCCTTTCCTCCTCAGGCCTCAGTGGGAGGAAGTCAATCCCCATCTCGACACAAACAGGGAAACAAAGGCGCTCTCATCCTGCCCGGCCCTCCCACCTTGCCTGACTGGCAGCAGCGCCGTGCCCAGAGCCCGCAGTTGGCAGCTTCTTCCAGGCGCCCAGAACACGGGCACCCACACTTGGGGGAGGGTGGAAGAGGGCATCAAGGGCCCCCAGGGTGCCCACACCCACCTGGGCCTCCCGGCTGGCACTATGCCCAACCCAGGGGTACCCAGTGAGCGTCCGGGGTGGTCTCTCTGGGCTGCTGTGGCCGAGCCATACCCAAGGCCAGAGGAGCCATGAGGAAAGGGTCAAAGGCAGCTGGAGCGCCCCAGACTGCAAGATGCCCAGGAGGCCCAGCCACCTCTCAGCGCTCCTCCTGCCCAGCCCCAGGGGGCAGCCACGGCACACATCCGGCTCAGCGCGTCAGCAGCCTCACCTCTGAGCCCCGGGGATGACACCACCGCTGCCATCAGGATGGGACGGACTTGCTGGCCACAGAGAGGATGGCTGAGTTACAACAGAGCAAGTTGTTTTGTGTGGTTTTTATTTTTTGCCGATAGGGCCTCGGTATGTGGTTCAGGCTGCCCTGGAACTTGCCCTTGGGCTTGTTCCTTGGGGCAGAAGAAACTTGAGATCCTTCTGTCTCAGCCTCCTGACTGCGCAGACTACAGGGGTGTGCTACCACACCTGGCATTTACCGCGACAGTAATTTCGGACACACCGTCACCCGTGCCTAGTCCCCGTTTCCCTTAACTCTGTGTGTGTGCACAGGTGTGTGCGCCCTAGGGCTGGAACCCGGGGCCTTCTGCATGCTAGGCAAGCGCTCTAGCCCTGAGCTACAGAGCCAGATCTCCTCCAAGATTCCCTCGCCGCTGTCCTTCACGTCCACTCCTTCCCCATCGTCCTCACCAGCCCCCCGGGCCCCGAGTCCTCCTACCCTGGGCCCAGCCCGCCACGCACACGTTCCATCAGCCAGTGTGAGGCAGACCCAAGTGGCACCAGCAGCAGAGCCAAGGTCGGGGAAGGCATCATCGTGCCTGCCAGGAAAGGTTTGTGTGGTCCTCACCCGTTCCCTCCCGGCAGAAACGCAAGCAAAGACTGACGAACGAACACCAGTAACCCCCGCACTCAGGAGGCTGAGGCAGGAGGATTGCTGCCAGCCTGGGATACCTAGTGAGACCTTGTCTCAAATAAACAGAAGTCACAAGAAAGTTTTCATCTGTTCCATAACTATTTACCATGCTACCTTCCCATGCCAAGGGCATTCCACGGAACAGTGCCATCCCAGGTCCTGGAATCAGATAAAGGTTCAAATGCAAATCGCTGGCTGAATTCTCCCCAAACCTCAGTGTCCTCTGCTGTAAAATGGGAGAACAGAACTTCTCGCCGTGACAGGCTGTCAGAAACAATTCGAGGATGCCAGTAAAGCCACAGCCTGAGCAAACGGAGCTGGTATTGTCAAAGACAACGACCGAGGAGGAGCTGACGGGTTTCCATCTGCCCCAGGGCTGGTGGCCAGGGTGGGCAAGGGGACCTGGCACCAGCACTACTGGCAGCTTTCAGAGATGGGGACCATCCCTTTCAGGGATGGCAAGGGGCAGGAAGGAGACGCTCACGCTTAGCCCTAAACCAGAGAACGGAGTAACTCCCCGGGAAGACATGCCGGGAAGCCCAGGCCCAGTCACATGCTGGCCGAGCTGCCGCCTGCTCTCAGGTGACCTCAGAAAGCAGGCAGGTCCTCCCAGGGCGGGTTTTCTAGGGAAAGCAGCAACCCGGGTCCCAGGCAGAGCAGGCACAGGACGGGGAGGCGCCAAGCGTGGGGTCCAGTCTTCCTGCGCCCGCGTCCTGCAGAGGTGAGAATCGGAAAGGGGAAGCGGCGCGAGAAACCGCAATGCAGACCCGAAAGCAAACAAACCGCAGCCAGCCAGGCTTGCGGCCGCAGCCACGGATGCTGCAGCTTCCTTGCCAGGGACCATGGTGACTGCTCAGGCCCTGCTTCAGCTGTCACCCATTCACGTGGGGCCCGGGAGAGGCTTCCAGTCTCCCCAAGCCTTGTAGATTCCCACAGGTGTACCCTGCTGAGGAATACAGCTAACGGTCAGGGGCCACGCATGTCCTGCGCCTCTGATGTCTTGTACGTGTACTGTCTCGGCCTCCTCCCTCCTTTCTGGTCTTACTGCCTCAACCAAGACAGCCAGATGAATGCTAAAACACTTCTGGCTGGGAGCAATGCTGTGCACCTATAATCCCAACTCCTCAGGAGGCTGAGGCAGGAGAATCTCTTAAGCCCAGCTCTATGCCAGCCTGGGCAAATAGCAAATCCCCCTTTTTAAACAGGAGAGGTAGAGGAAGAGGAGGAAAGGAAAGGAAAAGATGACACTTCTAGCTCTAGAACTTTAACAGTAAGTGTCACAGCAGGGTGTGGTAGAACATGATACACCTGTAACCCCAGCACTCTGGGAGGCTGAAGCAGGAGGATTGAAGGTTTGAGCCCAACCTAGGCAACGGGGTGACTTAGTGAGACTTTGTCTTGAAGCAAAAAATAAAAAGCAGGGCGGGGGCTGAGGCTGTACCTCAGTGCAAAGGCCGTGGTTTCAATCCCCAGTACCACCAAAAACAGGCTCAGACTTGCACCGTGTGCAGTGCAGCTACGAAAGACTGAGTACCAGAAAAGGGATGGCAAGGGGCAGGAAGGAGACGCTCACGCTTAGCCCTAAACCAGAGAACGGAGTAACTCCCCGGGAAGACATGCCGGGAAGCCCAGGCCCAGTCACATGCTGGCCGAGCTGCCGCCTGCTCTCAGGTGACCTCAGAAAGCAGGCAGGTCCTCCCAGGGCGGGTTTTCTAGGTGTCTCAACGCCCAGCAGGGGACAGGTGGCCCCGTGGAGAGGGAGGAGGGGTCAGCAGTGACAGCCCACACTTTGGGACCCGACAGATCCAGCTCTGCCTCGACTTGACCTTCCCCAACCGCAGGTTCCTTAGCCATAAAATGGACATAAAACTGTATCCAGCCTCCAGGGGCTCTGGTGAGAACCGAGGACATGAAGAACACTTCGCTCCTGGCTGGTGGATGTTAAGATCTGGGCAGAACCAGGACGCATTCCAGGCCAACCTGGACAACACACAGCGAGACCCTGCCTCAAAAATGAAGAAAAAAAGCCTCCAGGACAAACAGCCCTGGAGTCATCCTTTTCACTAAGCCCAAGTCAGGTTTTTTCCCAACCTGCCTCGGGACCCCAGACTCCTGTCACACGACGCACACATGCGCACACGGCTACCTACAGCTTCCAGCTCCCAGGGTCCCACCCGCAAGCAGGGTGGGGCGGGGAGGGACAGAGCGCAGGAAGGGGAGAGGAGAGCAAGATGAGCCAATATGAAAATTCGCTCACACACTCGCAGCTGGGCCAGGAGGAAACCCAACCGCAGGCTGCCGTGCCAGGGACCCTCAGCATGGAGACGTTTACACAGACAGAAGATGCAAAGTTTATCCAGATGGCAGAACTGCCGTGGCCACCCCCTGAGCTGGGCCCTGCCCCACCCTGGGGTCACCAGCTGCAGGCCTCCTGCGGGACAGGGGAACGGGAAGGAGAGATGGGAGAGGTCCGCTCTGGGGCCCTGCCAGCCTTCTGCCCCCCACCGGCCCAGGCACCTGCCTGACCCCCACTGGAGACGGGCGGTGCTTCACGGAGACGCTGCTCTGCCGCAGGCACACCGGGACAGACTCAGGTCTCCCCGTCACCGCACAGTGCAATGAGGTGGCCAGGCAGAGCTACGAGCACCTGACTGCTGCTGGACGACCCAGGCAGGCCCCTTGGCCCTCGGGGTTGTCCCCTCATCCGCCCAGTGAAGGGATCGGGCACATGATGCTGGACCCTCAAGGCCCTGACGCCCTCCAACAATGACAGCATCCCTTCCTACCACAGGAGCAGGCCCAGGGAGCCCAACATTCAGGCTTGATCAAACCATCCCTGAGTTCCACCTGTCAGGCAAGGGTGGAGAAAGGCACTGTCACCAGGCTTCTCTCTATTCAGGCCAGAACCCAGTTAGTCACTAGCACACTTGGCTTTAATCTGTTTCGCATCCATGTCCCCCACAGGGACGTGGACACCTTCTTGCGTCTCTGTCATGACATATTGCGTGCCAGCGCGCGGCACCTAATATCTGTCTCTGACTGTGCGAGATCACACCAGAGCACCACAGCTCAGTCTCCCAGGAACTGTAAGACTCAGGAGGACAACGAGGCTTCCCAGAAAGGTGAACTCGCCTTGGGGCGACACCCACCCAGCCCCGGGACTCCCCAGCACCAGTGTGGCCCAGCAGGCAGGGCCCTTGCTGCACAAGGCCGGGTTTGGAGGCGGCCAGCTGAGCCCAAGGCCACACATCAGCGGCAAAAAAGGTCACCACCCCACAGACCAACTGAAGCCGTCACCTAAGCTCGGGGCCTCAGTTCTCTCTCTCTGCTCTAATGGAATCCTGTCAAATGATACGGCACCTGCAGGGAGCCTGGGAAACTAGAGCAGGGCAGATCCTGTCACCTCCTCTGTCCCTCCCTGCCCCCAGGGTAGGTGGTGAGGAGGCCCAGGTCTGTGGCCACTCCCCTAGACTGGCACACTGCTCTGCTCCCTAGTCCCCATGAGAAAGGACGCTCAGGATCCCTCCCTGTCAAAGGGACATGGTGGAGCGCACCTGTCATCCCAGCACTCAGGAGGCTGAGGCAGGAGGATCACTGAGAGTTCAAGGCCAGCCTGGGCTACATAGTGAGCCTGTCTCAAAAAGAAAAAAAAGACAGAAAGAAAAAAGCAAGGGAGGTGCAGCAGCCATGCCCTGTGCCCTGGGGCCACCAGAGCCTTCATCTATGACAGGACAGCAAATCACACCCATGGCTGCGAAGACCCTGGGGCCCCACAGCCGTGGATCACACTGGTACTCAGCTGGGAACAAGGGTCGGGCACCCAGAGGAGCCCACCTGTCCAGCCTCACCCTCCAGGGCAAGCACAACGGGC